GAAAGTCCCTTTTCTGTAGAATTTTATGAGTTAGCTGGTGACAGTATCCTTGACTTCCCTGAACCTTGGTATCTTTGCCTGTACAATGGCGATGTTTTTGTTGTTCAGTCGCTAAGTCGTGTCCAACTCTTTGCTACCCCATGGACTGTAGCCTGCCAGGCTCCTCTGTCCTCCATGGTCACTCAGAGTTTGCACAAATTCATGTCCATTGAGTCAGTGATGCTATCTAACCATCTCATCCTCTGTCGTTCACTTAATTCATGCAGTGGTGAGGATGGCATGAGGTAGTAGAAAGAGACCAGCCACAACCTGGCACATTTGTAAGAATTCCGTAAGTGGCTTCTTTCATCTGTATGTATATAAACATAGTACCATGTTTCCTAAGGGCTTCCGTGGAGACTCAGCTGGTAAAGAATCTACCTGCAATGTGGGAGATCTGGGTTCAGTCTCTGGGTTGGGAGGATCCCTTGGAGACGGGAAAGTCTAGCCACTCCAGTATTCTGGCCTGGAGAATTCCATGGACTGTCTAGTTCATGGAGTCGCAAAGCGATGGCACGACTGAGCGACTTTCACTTCCTCACTCATTCATGTTTCCTAAAGGAGCTGATGATCTGTGTTGCATAGAGAGGCATATATTGTTAACCACTCCGTTCTCTACAGAAATTTTAGCTTGACTCACTTGATGGGTTTTGTTCTTCAAAGTCCTAAATCATCTTTGGTAGTGAAGTGGGTATCTGTGGAAGCCTCTTTCACTTAAATGACTACAGTTATTAAGTGTAAGAGTTCTCTGGTGGCCTCAGATCACAATAGCAACTCTCAACGCCGTTAGTGTAGGAATCTTTTAGTAATTGGGAGAAATGAACATGACAGCGTCTCAGGACTTCTGCTTGCCCCCGAGGGTGGAGCATGTGAAGACGGGAAGAAACATGGATCACCTAGTGATAACTTCCAAAGGCCAGAGATTACCAGAAAAGCTGTTTTCTTCCCAGGAGTACTGGCTAGGGATGGACTGTGAGATATTCGCAAGATATTTAGAGTTTGTTGAGAACATGCACCATCTGTCACAGAAAGGTATGCAGGGTATTTATTTGAAAACGTGATACTGAGGCCCTGCCCAATCTAGGACTGAATGCCCTCTGACTCACACCTAAGTGAACACTGGCAAACGTAGATTCTAGTAGTTCTACTCTACAAAATTTTGAGTAGCAAGAATGTAACCTTTATTTTAATAACATTTAAACCAATCACCGCCTCCTTATGAATTATAGCTATTAAATTTCTGTGCTCCTTCTTCTTTTTACATTATCTTTGGAAGCAGTCTTTACTGACATTTGGTAGCTTAGCTGGTAAAGAATCCACCTGCAATGCAGGAGATCTCAGTTCGATTCCTGGGTCGGGAAGATCCGCCAGAGAAGGGATAGGCTTTCCACTCCAGCATTCTTGGGCCTCGCTGGTGGCTCGGCTAGTAAAGAATCTGCCTGCAATGCTTGAGACCCAAGTTCAATCCCTGGGTTGGGAAGATCCCCTAGAGAAGGGAAAGGCTACCCACTCCAGTATCCTGGCCTGGAGAATTCCATTGACTATTTCATGGGGTTGCAAAGAGTTGGACATGACTGAGAGACTTTCACTCACTAGGGGAGAATTCTTTTCTTTTGAGCCTAAAACTTATTCCCTCATAAGTTAAACAGGTAGCTATCCCTGATTCTCCGAGCATCTTACTGTTTTGTAGACTCCTGCTGAATTGGAAGGCTTGTATATCAAGTTTCCCCTTTTCACTTTACACTTAAATTAATACTATATCATCCACCTCTATGGCTTTTCTAAGAGCTTGCTGTCATTTGGTGACTTGTAATTTTAAAAATAGCCATCAGTCTTCATGGCACATCTCTGAAACAGGTAAAGATATTTTAATGAAAATAAATATTGAGATCAACTATGATATTCTTATTAGTGATAGCATTTAAAAAAAATCAGTAACGCTGCTTCTATTGATCCTCAAGACAGGTATTTTGTGGGGGTGGTAAGAATGCTTTCATTCCAGCTCATTTTACTTTTGGTATGTTTGGTACTAGCATATACAGCTTATAAAAATATTTGGTCATCATTTTGAGAAAGCATGCCTTTCCCCTACTCCAAAGTGATGCTGCCTTCCTCTCTTCTGGTGGGCAAAGAAGCTGAAATGAAAAGAGGTTGAGCACTAATCGCTGAAACAGAGACACTGTTCCTTAGGTCCTAAAGGTTTGTTTAACCTTGGGACTCTATGCCTTTTCCTTTATCTGAACAAAAACAGAAAAGGAGCATTTAGTTACTAGTAATGTCTGAGAGGAAAAGGAGGATGCTTTGCCTTTTAAAAAAAATTATTTATTTTTTTATTGAAGGATAATTGCTTTACAGAATTTTGCTGTTTTCTGTCAAACTTCAGCATGACTCAGCCATAGGTATACATATACCCGCTCCCTTTTGAACCTCCCTCCCATCTCCCTCCCCATCCCACCCCTCTCCATTGATACGGAGCCTCTGTTTGAGTTCCCTGATGCTTTGCTTTTGAATTACTCAGCTCAGTGATGTTTTCCTCTGGCCACTCTTGGAAGGAGAGAGCTTCCTTACCCAAAGCATATTCTATTTTACTATGCTGTAAGGGGTCCCTCAAAAGTTCATAGCCTGTGGGTACCAGAGAATTGTAGCTTCCTGGAGCCCATCCCTGACAGCATAAAAGATGCCTGAGAGGTAGTAAGGGATGGGAGTGGGAACAGAGAGTGATTGTGGATGAGCATGAGGGATGTGTGTTGATAGGTAGACAGGTTCTGAAATTGGATTATGGCGATGGGTGCACAACTCTCTGTAAATATGCTAAAAATCATTCAATATATACTCTCCTTTTCTTTTACTTTATAAAATACTAGTTTTTATTCCAGAAAACTCTCTGACTTGTTAAAGTAGAAAGATAAACTCTTAAAATGAGTGAATTTTGTGGCATGTGAAGAACTGTACTTTAATAAAGCTGATAAAAATGTCTGAAATTGGAAATGTCTTAAAAGGAACCACCTTTGTGGTTGGCATATACTATGCAGATTTGGCTAAATATATTAAAAAAAACTTTACATTTAACATCAATCTGACTCATGCAGTTTAATTACTATTTTTTTTCTTTTTGCTTAGTTACCATTCTTTAATAAGAAAATAGTTAATGTGACAGGTTAAAATTTTTTCTTTGACTTCTTAACATTTTTCATGATGTTTTCCTATTTCCGGACCCAAGGCAACCAAGCTTTCAGTGTTTTATTTACTAAAGAAACTTGATGCTTTGCTTACATATATTGTGTGACTTGAGATAAAGCTTCAGGACTCCCTCAATAACTGGAGCGCAGGAAACAATTGACACTGTTTCTTAATTCACATTGTTTTTTAGACATTTCCTACTTCCTAGTATAATATAGCTTTCCCATGAGAACAATTTGCTTGTAAGTGGTTAGACATGATAAATTTCTCATTGGCACCACATTCTGCGGGGAGAATTTCACTGTGCTTTTTAGTAGTTGAGTTGGCGTGTGTGTCTGGGTGTTTGTGTGTCTGTGTATGTGTTGGGGGCAGGGACTTCATGTTTTATATAGATGCCTCAAACTTCATTCCAAGTATCAGATTTTTTTTTTTCACTGCTTATTCATTCACATGGGGTTCTGCATTCTTGGTTGGAACATCTTTCTTGATGTGGTTGTTTTAATACTTCCAGTTTAAGGGAACACCCCTGCCAATTACGGTGCTTTTAGATATGCCTGGTGAGTGACAGTGGAAAGGAATTCATGGTATTTGTGTATGTGTGTGTGTGTCTTGTATGTGTGTGTGTGTGTCTTGCATATGAGTGTGTGATATTTATTGTCTTTGGAGCTATGCAGTGGTCATTTAGGAATAATTCCAGAATGTGGAGGAAATCCCTAGATAATCTCATCTTTTTTTGCAATTCCCATTTACAATTCAAAAAGAAAAGAAGTTTTCACATTACTTCTGAAATGGTGGTTCCCACATTCAGAAGTTAGACTGCATATAAAGTGAAAGTAAAAGTTTTCCAATGGGAAAAAAAAGATGTAGAGCTTTGAGTACCTTTTTTCCCTGTCTTATCAGATTTTGTAAAAATAATACCACTTGTCAGTATTGCAGTTCCTTCCATCTCGAGAACTAAAAGCATCTCACAATCTTTTTTCCTCATGCCCTTCTCTTCAAGGCAATCTTTACTGGGCTGGGTTTATTTTTATCACAGCAACAACCGGTTTTTAGAAACTTTTGCAAACGAAAAAAGAAAAATGAGAATGGCGCTGTAGCTGACATTCGTTTTAGCTGTTTCCTAGTGTGAACATTTGAGTATTTCTAAAATTTTCTCTCTAAGTATGTCTTATTTTTTCTTAGTTTGTCCCAGTTCTAAGTCTCTATTCTGCTGATTGGGTAAAAAAAGTTTTAGTGTAAAACCTTATACCCGCAGAATGACTTTTTGAACTTTGAGTTAGGTCTTTTCCCCCTCTTTTTCCAATAACTCCTCTTTCATCACTCATTCAGTATAATCACAGGCTCCAGGAAAGTTGGCACTGGAGAGGACTCTTAAAGATTACCCAGTTTAAGAGCTTCATTATATAAATGAAGAAACTGAGGCCCAGAATGGTTAAGGGACATTCTCAAGGTCAGATAGCTCATTGATGGCAGAAGTTTGACCAGAATCAAGGATTCCTGATTTCTAGGTCAATATCCTTTGACTTGCCTAAACAAAAAAGAGTCTATCTAGATAGAATTAGAGCATGCCCTCACCGAATCCTGGTGCCAGCCAACAGGTTGAGTTACAGTCCAGTTCAATGAAAATTGGAAGGCGGTTTTATTTTTCCAGTTTGTCAAATGTGAAATGGTAATGTTGAATTCATGGACATTTTTTTTCCCCTGACCTCCAGGTCTTGTGTGATTTCTGTGCAGCCGAGACTGTGGTTTGAAATGACTGGTGATTTGTGTTCCTTCCTCAGGCCACCACACCATCTACATTGGGGTCCATGTGCCAAAGAGCTACCGGAGAAGGAGACGTCACAAGAGAAAGACAGGCCACCGAGAAAAGAAGGAAAAGGAGAGAGTCTCTGAGAACTATTCTGACAAGTCAGATGTGGAGAATGCGGATGAACCCGGCAGCAGCATCCTGAAACCTCTCAGTGAGTCCCCCCGGGCGGCTGGTGCCTCTCTCTGCCTCCCTCCCGCAGCCTTGGGAAAGACAAGTTTGAAGATCCTAGGGCAAATGGACATGGGTGCAGCGATGCTGGGATGCCAGCCTCTAAAGTATAATGTCTCTGGAGATGATGCTTTTCTTGTTCCTGTGGGTTGGTCTAGGAGGAGACCTGGTGAAATTCTGAGCTGGTCAGAAGAGATCTGATAGCGTTTAGGCATTTAGCATCTTGTGTTTCCATTAGTGAAGTAGGACAGAGTATTATAGGTGGTATTTAACTGCAGTTATCAGCAGTAACTGGGAAATTTTTCAAGACATTTTTGGATTGTTTCTGCTTAGAAGTAGGTTCTATTAAGAAAGTAGGTCAAGATGATGGTTCTATATATTATATGTATAATCCATAGGGGCTTCTCTGGTGGCTCAGTGGTAAAGAAGCCTTCTGTGAAGCAGGAGACACGGGCAGGAGACACAGTTCAATTCCTAGATCAGGAAGATCCCTTGGAGAAAGGAGATGGCAACTCACTCCAGTATCCTTGCCTGAAAAATCCCAATCTGGGATTGCAAGAGAGTTGGACATGACTGGGCCAGTAAACAACAACAAAACATAATCCATAATGTCTTATGAAAAAACACAAATGAACTTTTGGCTATATATACACATATATATATGTATATGTATGTGTGTGTGTATAATGCATGTACTGTGCTGTCCTTAGCCACTCAGCTTTGTCCGACTCTTTGCAGCCCCACAGACTGTAGCCCACCAGGTTCCTCTGTCCATGGGGATTCTACAGGGAAGAATACTGGACTGGGTTGTCATGCCCTCCTCATATACACGCATACATATTTACATGACATTTATAGGATTATAGGTTACATTTAGCCAGGTTGATTTGAATAAGAATAGTGGGAAAACATCCTGAAAATCAGAGGGTCATGTAGAGTGACACAGCTTTGAAAATGTTGAAACTATTAGCCATTAGACTTTGGATAGAGGTGTTATTTGGAACGGAGGAGCAGGAGGTCAAAGCACATCCTTGGATTCAAGCGGATGGATGTGTGCTTGGGTTTATGTGTCTGTTGCTTTGGTTTCTTTTGATGTGGAGAACATTGGGCTATCTGGGCAGCTTTGTGGCTAGAGTGAGAATAAATATATGCAGTAGAAGCAAAAATCAGCAGAAACATATGCCAGTTTGGGAAGACTCCCCAACATGAGTTTCATAGTGACAGCTTTTCATGCTGGCGAGCTCAGCCCAGTTCTTCGTCTCTTTGCTACAGTTGCAGAAATCCAGAACCTGTAATAAAATCCATCATGGGTGGCAGAGATAAAGATCCAGCTCAGTCTTTGTAGGTGATGAGAGGCTAAATTAGAATTAACAGCTCAGAACTGTTGAAAGTGAGTTTACAGAGTTAAATATGAGGGTGTGAAATGTAGTGATGAGAATCTGTGAATTTTTTTTATAGTCTGTCTACTGGAGCTGAGCAGGTGGCTTAGCAGCTAGAGAGGTACTTATGTGGAGAGGAGCCGTCAGCTGGACCACCGAATTAAAGAGGAATGTTTTGAGGACAGTTTGGGGATGGACCACTGAATTAAAAGTTTAAAGTGTTGGAGTAAATGTAAGACTTACATGGGACCAGAGGACAGGAGGCAGGAATTCCATGCTTTTCACTAGAACACTGGGCGAGAGCCTTTCTGAAAGGCATTGTTTGTATGTTGACTAAAAAAATGGGGTCTGTTTCAAGCAAAGTCCTTGAAATGCAGGCAAAAAAGGTCACAGTTAATAGTCTGGAGGAACGAAAGATAACATTCCTTTCCAAATACATTACTAGTTTATCTCAATTTGCTATATGTTTTGGCAAGACCTGAGCCAGAATCAGAGGTGCTGTCTTCAGGGTGTGTGTGTGTGTGTGTGTGTGTGTGTGTGTGTGTGTCTCTCGCATCATCTGTCATTCTGCAATTTAAGAACAAGAGTGCATCACCTCTATAAATACTAAAAGGGAAAGAGATGCTCACTTACACAAATGGGCCACAGGGTTTTGGGATGATAATTATGTAATAGCTTTTTAGGAAGGGCAGTGGAAACTATGCCAGTAATACTCAAGTAGGTAATAGGGGACGAACAGGTCAGAAAGGCACTGAGACTGAATCTCTGTCTTCCATGGAATGCTGTGACTTCTTGTGGTCTCTGGAGACGAGTTTGAGTAGAGCATGTGGAATGCAGAAGGCAGTTCATGCTCTTTACCTTTAGAAGTCTCCTCCTTGGGGAGAACCGGATTGGGCTGTATACTTGGTTTCTGAAGCGATCCTACGGAGACATCATTGTGAAGGACAATGATAGCAAAGAAATGATGGATAAATTTGTATTTTACAGTTAGTTATGTTCTGCTAGTCAGTAAGTTATGCTCTCATATGCCTGTGACATATTTGACATGAGTCATCCAACGTGAGATGAAGATCTTCAAAAAAAATGACTGTATTTTCTCCACTGCTTATCATGGAGACTAGATGGGTTGGTAGCTGGTTTATCTGGTGCAATTCTGTTTAAAAATCGTTGCACTCAGATGACAAGGGGCATGTAAGCCTGTGATTTCGGGGAAACTATAGGGCTTTGGTGCCAATGTGAAGACAAAAGTTTCTCTTGTTCTTAGATCTGTGGTTTTTAAGTCACTTGTGTCTACAGACATGCCAGGCCCCCTAGGCCAGATTCTTGCATGGACCTGGCGTTATATCAGGTGATGCTTATCACTACTGAAAAGACCCACCTGGAAACAGAGCCCCTTGATGAGAATCATCTGATTTTTTCCTTCCTGTCACCCTCATCTGCAATATGTCAATAACTCTTGTTGGGTTTACGTCTAAAATACATCTGAATCTGTCTAATGTTTTTTGATGTGACTGCCATATTCTGATCCACGGAATCCTACTCTCTTGCTTAAGACAACTGGAACAGCCTCTGCTTTTCATATCTTTTCCCACACAGAGGGACTAGTGATTATCACGAAGTGCAAATTGGGTCATATCATTCCCTCTTTAGAATGAAATCCCAGTCAAGCCTCAGGGCCCATGTGTCTCACCAGAGTCCTTTGCATTACTTGTTCCTTGTTCACTTTAATTCAGCCACACCACACCACAGTGGTGTCCAAACCTTTTCTGCCTCAGGACCTTTGCTTGTGCAATCCTGTCTTTCTAGAATGGTCCCTCATTCTTGCCCTAGTTAGCTTTTCTCTGCCTTTATGTTCCAGCTTTAAAGTGTTGTCTCTTCAGAGAGAGATGCTTTGCCCTGCTGTTCTGTCTGATATATTAATAGCTTCTCCGGTGTTGGTCTTCCATAGTTCTCATATGTTTCCTTCATAATACATGTTTCAGTTCAGGATTTTACTAAGCTACAGTTAGTAGAAAACCTACAGTTTTGTCTTGTGCTGATGGGACAGCGTAAGCTCCCTGAGAGCTTGGATCAGGTCTGTCTTGTTCACCTGTGTTATCTCTGGCACCTAGCACAGTGCCTGGTACATAGTATGTGTGTGTGTGTGTGCTAAGTCAATTCAGTCATGTCTGACTCTATGTGACCCTGTGAGCCTGCCAGGCTCCTCTGTCCATGGAATTCTCCAGGCAAGAATACTGGAGTGGGTTGTCATGCCCTTCCCCAGGGGATCTTCCTGACCCAGGGATCGAACCTGCGGTTCTTAGATCTCCTGCATTGGCAGGTGGGTTCTTCACTACTATTGGGTTCTTTACTTCCCACCTGGGAAGCCCAATGTATGTGCTTAATAGATGCTTATTGAGGAGCAGTTGAGTTGATGGATTACCACAGAGGAAGACATCGGCATTGCTTCTATTGGTCTCACTCGTTTCCACTCTATAGATAAAGATCCAAGTGATTTTCTTGTTTGTAATCCTCATACATGATCTTTGTATTTCCTGCTCTGCCTTTTTCTCTTGCCATGTTGGCCCTGATTTTTAATTACCCCACTTTGGAAAGTGCCTCATTATTTCAACTCTTGCTAAAGGACGACTTTGATCTGGGCACACGGCTCCCAAGGACGTTGAGCTGCTTGTCACCCATAGCTGTTAGAAGAAATCAGTCCACAGAGCACATGGATTTATAATTTACATTTAAAAGTGCTCACTAGTCCACACAAGAGCTTTGGAAATAAAAGCTGAGGCGACTCAGCTTTGGAAACCATATTAAGGGGGCATAGGACAAATAGTAAAGGACATTTGTAATAAGCCATAAGCCAAATATCTTCCAGTATTCAGGCACATCGGGAAGATGACATAATTAATGGGTTTATTTAGTTTATAACACAGAAGCTTTTTCCCTCTTCCCTGTGGCTTTGGTGTCAAGACAGGGCTTCTGAAAAGTGTATGCATGTTTTGACTCTTAGGCATCAGGAGCTTTGAGGAGGAAGCTAGCCAGCTTCTTCGTCCCCGTCCGCCTCTTCCCATCCCCAAGCTCATCAGCAGCTCGGAGGCCTCACACGGCTGTTTTTCTCAGTGTGGCGTTTGAGCTGGTGTCCCAAGGTGGGACACAGAGAAGAAAACGCCTGTGACAAGTGTGGGGCACGCGCGATGGGGCGGGAGGCTGGGGAAGACAAGTGAAGTGGAAGAGCAGGCAGGAGGAGAGACAAGGGAACGAGGAGGTGGTGTGGAGTGGGTGGTGGAGAGAAAAGCTCGATTGTGCTCTTTCTTAAAAATAACCCTTTGCCTCCCCCACCGTGCACTTCTTTTCCCCCCTAAGTTAGCAACTGCCGTCCTGCGAGGGTTGCCCATTCTGGATGGGGAGGTGGTCCTAGATGAGCTCAGCTCCTACCACTGATGGAGTGACCTCTGTACTTGGCATTTTGTTAGTGTCCTGGGTGCTCGTGGGGGACTCACAGGCTGCTCTGTGACTGCAGAGACCCTGAAGATGTATAAGATGTTTGCAGACAGAGCTACAAGCAGAACATCCTGTTCAGTGTTTCGGTCTGATGTGTAATCTATCTCTTGAC